TGGATGCTCATGGTCATGCTATTACCATTCAGAGAGGAAATTTGTCAAAATTACTCATCTTTTCTTATTTTTTGCAGGGGCAATGAAATGCATTTTGAATGGGGTCCTTCAGCAGCACGACACTGTTTGCATGAGCTTATACAAGCGAGCATATCCCAAGTGGCCAGAACATTTCTTCCCACTGATTGATGCTTGAGTATCAGTTTATGCATAATCTTGTATTTGCAGAATTTGGAAACTGAAGGGCATGGTTTGTTGTTTCATGGGAATGAAGCTTTGGTTCAGATTTGTTGATTCTAACTAGTGTTTTGCAGTTGTAAGCTGCATGCAACAGTGATACATATATGTTTATTGTTTTGTTTTATTCCAACCCTCCTCATAGTTGGAGCTTGTAAGCTACATGGCAGAATATCCTCTATTATTTTGCTTTACTCCCCCAGATATTCCTCACCTTCCTCCCCTTCATTTGATAGTTGGAGAGGGAAAATTTTTGTAGAGTAAGCTTGCTGGAACTTTTTTACTCATGATTTTATTGATAATCTCATCTGTAATTGTGTATACGTAGAGATTAGAGTTTTACTTCGATACATAATGTGTAAGTAAAGATAAACTACAATAGAAACAAGATGATCCAAGCAGCTATTGTTGATCAAGGATAAAACATGAAAACTATCTTTACCTAATCTGGATTTCTCCTGCAGAATTGCATTCTGCTGATGGTGGGAAGTTTTCTCAGTTTGGAGTGGTATAAGAATTTTCATGGTAATTATAAAACTAGCGGAGTGTTTAACAGTGATTGATGGGGTGATTTCTACAAAGTTCATTTGTGTTTGAAGAGATATATATATATATATATATATGTTTATGATCTCTTGGTGTTTCTCTTAAACCATAATCATTATTTTTTTTTCCAATTCTTTTCATTTTAGGGGATTTTAGAATACATTCTAATTTAATTAATTTTATTTGAATTAGGATTTATTTATTTATTCTTTGTTAATTTGTATTTTACTTCTAATTAATTCACACACATGTTTATTAGCTAAGATATATTTCCAACATTTTTTTTTTTTTAAGATTTTCTAGATTTCTTGGTTAAAGGAAAAATTATTTTTCTTGAAGTGAAAAAACTTGCTGTATAATAAGTTAAAATAAGGGATAAATACAATTCAAAATCATGTGGTAATGCTAGCAAGTATCACTCTGATCCGTTTCACGCGCTTCAATATAAAGATATTCCGATCGAGATAAACTTGTCCTACGAAGAAGTACTAGTTGACATATTGGATAAACAAAAACAGAGTGCTAAGAAATAAGACTATTCCGATAGATAAGTTATTCTGACACCATCATTCTCCGACAATAGTTATTTGAAAAACTGAAGACTCGATGTGAGTTCTAATACCACATGTAACAGTTTATATTCACTGATATCGAAATTTGGGCTGTTACAAAAAAAATATTTCGGACCAATAAAAGATAAGCATAATAAATTTCAGAATATCTAAATTAATTTTTTTGGAAAATTCTACATAAAATAAAAATAAAATAATTTTAAATTTTTGGAAAATTCTACAAAAATAATTAATTTATTGCAAGCTTACTCTTGGCTTCTTCTGTGGCTGTATACTTATTTAACCTTTAATCTGATTCTTGCCCAGTAAAACAATCTGAAGCCGTTTCCATTTTCCACCATCTTCATTTCATTGGAGAGGCCCAGAAGATATTGGGGCGCAAACATCACATGCTCATCCACTTCTCACTCCCACTGAATTCTGGTATCCAGTTTTCAGCCAAAAAACCGTAATTTGGATTTCCAGATCTTCCCAAGAAAATCGCATTTTCCCTCAAAATGCTTAAACCTTAGGTAAACATCAGGGTTCCTTTGCATCACAGGGGGTCAATAATCATTGGAGCTTCAAACCATGTATACGCCTTTGTAAGTGATTTATTGCGGTTGTTTGGACACCTATGCGTGCATCATTAGCTGTCCGCTTACGCTGTCTTCTTTACGTGTTCCAACATTTTGCAGAAGTAGAAACTTTTTGCGGCCGATTGCGGAGTCACTGGGCAAATTAAAATCATATGAAAATGTATGTCTTTACCTTTTTATCGTAGTAATCCCCACATCGGCATTGGTTTTGATTGCATTTATTAACGAATTTGAATAATTTTTTCTAAAATACTATCTGAGTAACAACCATGTTTGTAATAGTTGCAAAGAAGTTTCGACAGGAAAGTGGAATTGTCTCGTTCTTTGACTACCGCAGTTGGTAAGTGCTCACAAGTCTTAAGGTCGCAATATATAGTGGGAGTTTATTTTCAGGAAGATATGAATTCGAAGTTTTGAGTATTTATGGAGAACTTAGAACCATTGGATTGAGAAACATATATCTTAATGTAAAAAAGTTGTGAGTGTAAAATTTTTTATGCAGGTAGTGAGTTCTGGAGGCAACTAGAAGATTCAACCACAATGCCTTTTCAGGTGCAAATTGTCAATGCACTGCGCCTGGGCGAAAGAAGGAGGGCATCAGATTTGCTTTTGGATTTTGGAGGTGGGAGCTTCTCACTGAAAGCTGATGACTTCATTCATATTCTGAAGTATTGTGCAAGATCTCCTGACCCCCTGGTAAGCTGAAGTACCCTGTAATCTACATGTGTTCATTTTTCAGCTAAGGTATTGTCTGGTTCACAATGTGATGTTTAATGAAGAACATGTAGTTTCTCGTTATTTAGCCAGTTAACACTGGTGGGATGCATGGTATTTATCATACCCCGCCAGAGAGCTAGGGACAAAGCTTTATGCATCTTTTCTTTTCCTAGTAAACACAGTCTTATTCACGACTTTCTAGAGAAGGCTGAGAAGCATAGTTCATTGTGGTAACTGACTTATGTTTCCTGCATGTTCCTATTTGGCTTCATTTGGGAGGTTGGGATGATCTAACTATGTTGCTTACTATATATGTATTTTAGTGGGATTTTAAAAATTCAGTCCCAAAGTTAAGATGGAATCTTTTTACTGAGATATTGACAGAGGTTATGTCATTTCTATCAGTTCGTCATGGAGACTTTGAGGATAATGGAAGAAAAGAAGATTAAACCGAATAACATATCCTTTCTGCTTACAGTGCAAGCTCTTTGCAGAGGGGGATATCTAGAGGAGGTAAATTTAGGTAAATTTGTTTAATGGTCTTAATTTCTAATTGTCTATTGAAGAATCATATAAACCCTACATTAGTAGTTCTAATCCACAAAATATTGTTTACATTGTGATTTTGACTAGATTGATAGGATTAATTGATAGTTGGGTCCTCAGACTTTACTAATTATTATTGTCGTCACTAATAGTAATGCAGACTGCAGTTATCACATACAAAACATATTACTGATACTTGTCCATTGTATCTCACTGTTACAATGACTTAACATTTCCTGTCTCTTTGCCTTTACTTTGTTCAGGCTTCACATTTGATTAATTTTGTTGGAGAAAGTTCTTGCATCTCTCCTATGCTGCCTGTCTACAACATTTTCTTAGGAGCCTGTGCAAAAATGAACAATATCATTCATGCTAATAAATGTTTGGATTTGATGGAGCGTCGTATGGTGGGAAAGAACGAAGTTACGTATTCTGAGCTTCTCAAGGTGAGTGGAGAAAGCTTATCCTAATTTTTTTGCTACTGGAGAAGGAAAAGTTTTGTACTTGTATGGTGATGCTCATGACTTTGTTCCCCATATGCCTCTTTTTTTTTTTTTTTTGGTGATCCCTTGACTTAGTTATAGCACATATAGATGTCCATAAAAATGAAAACATTTTGCTTCCAGTTTATGAGCAAAACTGAATAAACCTCGTTACAGAGAGAAAGAGATGCAACCCCAAATGTAAAAGCATGGATTTGAATAGGCATGTGCAATATAGAACCTTTCTCCGTTATTTCAAAAAAAATATAGAGCTTTTGTCTGTTGATTCCGTAATGGTAGAAAATGAAAAAGGGTTAGGGAGGCTGTTGTGCTTTTGCTTATATTATAGGTTTGCTGCATGCTAACTTCCGGTTCATGTTCAGAGAAATTATGTAAAAAGAAATGCTCCTGATAATTTGCATTGCAGTTGTATGTGATCTGTAGCAATTTTTTATGTGGGGGACACCTTGTAATTTTGTTTTCTTCCCTCCAATCTGTTATACAAAAGAAAAACCGACTTGTTGTATGGTAGAGTTCTTTGTACTGAACCACATGAAGTTCTCTGTGTTCTCTCTTTTCTTCCCTCCAATCCGTTATACAAAATAAAAACCTACTTGTTGTATGGTAGAGTTCTTCGTACTGAACCACACGAAGTTCTATGTGTTCTCTCTTTTCTTCCCTTTACTTGTAATATGTGAACGTGTTTGAGTATATTCGCTAAAGAGGTTGGGTGGAAGTGGAAGATGATTTTTGGCTGTTTAAAAATGCTGGTGGATTGGACTATATAATCCTAATTCCTAGAGTATGATTCGGGGAAAATCTAGACTTTGGACTGGATCATGTTATGCTTTTCATTTTTGGTTTTTCTTGTTCCTTTCTGCAATATTAGGATTCATTTTTGGTTTTTCTTGTTCCTTTCTGCAGTATTAGGATTCGATGGTTTCCATTAACCATTTTCTGCCATACTATTCTCATTTGACAAAGTTTAGTTTTTTTTTAGTATGTAATTGCACAATTGAGGAACTGAATTTCTTAAATTTGAGTTCACTGTTCAAGTAAGGTGTTTGATCTAATCTTTTTCAGGAGACATTTGTCCATATGATTATTGTTCATTTCAGCTTGCAGTTTGGCAGCAAAACCTGTCTGCTGTCCATGAAATCTGGAAGGACTATGTCAAACACTACAGTATGAGCATCATGTCTTTGCGGAAGTTTATTTGGTCCTTTACAAGGTTGGGAGATTTGAAATCCGCATATGAAACTTTGCAACATATGGTGGCTTTGGCTGTCAGGGGAAGGCTTTTCATTAGGACAAATGTTGAAGGAAAACTCTGTTCTTCAAGACTGGATATTCCAATTCCCTCAAATGGTGAAGTAACTTTGAAGGAGGATTCTGTTGTCTTGAAAATTGATTCTCATGTAGAGCAGTGCACTGTTTCTTCCACACAAAATGGAGAGATTGAAAATGCCAGGATGTGTCTGCTGAATAAGTACAAAGGCATGCCTATGATGAAGGTCTTAAGGTGGTCCTTCAGTGATGTGATACATGCCTGTGCACAAGCTCAAAATGGTGGACTGGCGGAGGAGTTGATGCAGCAGGTGTTTCTCTCTTCTTCCCTTAAGTGGAGAAGACTCTTCTTTCTGATCATCTTGTTAACCTATCCTAAAATTTTTGTTTTTTTTTTTCCAGATGCAAAATATTGGGTTGCAACCATCAAGCCATACCTTTGATGGCTTTGTAAGAGCAATTGTCCGTGAGAGGGGGTTCAGTGATGGCATGAAAGCAGTAGGTTATGTTGGCTTGTTGCATATGTCAGTTATTCATGGAGCTTAATTTGCTGCACCTGCAGTTATTTATCATCTGACTTGGCTTCCTTTTTATTCAGAGATTTCTTGATTTTATGTTTTCATGTTTCTACAGTTGAAGTTAATGCGACAGTGGAACTTGAAGCCATATGATCCAACTCTTTTGACTATTTCAATAGATTGCAGTAGAGCTTTAGAACTTGACTTATCTGAAGTGCTGCTGGATGAAATTTCTGAATGCTATCATCCCCATGCTTTCAATGCCCTTCTCACTGCATGCAAAGCAATGGTTAGTTCATATTGGTAGATCTAAAACCTAACGTCAGTTTGTGCACTTATTTGATTGTGATGTCTGATTTCCATGATATTCTTCTATGGTATTATTCTGAAGGCTTTGAGGTAGGACAAAATATACTGAATATGGAAGTTTTTTTTAGAACTAAGCATTGAACTCTACTTCTTACAAGGTTTGAGCATGATGGATAATAGTCGAGTGATCTTTGGTAGCTTCCAATGTGCTTAAATCATTTTTGGGTTGAAAGCTCTGTCCAGTTTTTTCTGGTTTTTTGACAAACTTTACATGAATAATGCTTTCTGCTTTTTCGAAGTCATGATAATTTTGCTGTACTTGCAATATATACACTGGTATATGTTAGATTGGCAAAAAAAGTCAAGCATTGATTATTTGCACTTGCAGTATATAATGACTAGTTTTTGTCCATGACAAGGTCACTTTGGCTTTATATTCTATTGAAAATAAGTACTTGATTATTCAAAATTGAATTGGTACTTCTTTTGCTGTTGAGAATATTATTTTTTTCTCTGCATTTGTAGTTAAGGCATTAGTTTTGCAGGATCAACCTGAGCGTGCTGTACATGTTTTTGCCAAAATGAAGCAGTTAAAACTCCAGCCGGATATCAGGACATATGAGTTGCTCTTTTCATTATTTGGTAATGTGAATGCCCCGTACGAAGAGGGGAACATGTTGTCACAGGTAGATGCATCTAAAAGAATAAATGCTATAGAATTGGATATGGCAAAAAATGGTCTTCAGCATAGTCATCAATCAATGAAGAACTTGGTAAGTTCCTGCCTCATGTATTTTGTTCTTTTGGTTGCTGAATAAAGCTTAACATCTCCAAGAATAGAATGGTTTTTTGCAGTGAAGCTCTTCCTACTGTACTTTCAGGCACTAAGTTTATAGGGAGACAGACCTTCAATATCTAAATGCAACAAAGCCCGCTTATGCAAAAACTCTCTGACTCTGTATGAACTATGCACTTCTCATGGGCTTCAGAATTGTGATAGAACTTATATATAAGGCACTAAAAGAAGAACATAAATAGCAATTTAACCATTTAAATAAGAGAAAGTGCTAGGTGTTTGTGTTGTCTATCGGTCTGCCTTTGCTTTGTGATAATAAATCTCCCAACCATCTTCTTTTACGGTGTCCAGAGAGAAGGTTATGGGATTAAATACTTTTTTTGAAAAAATAAGTAATGGGATTAAATACTTGATGGGCATTTATTGGGCTTTTTTTGTGAGTAGCTCTATCTCCTGCAAGTGACATGCCTGGAGGGTGTCCATATTGACCATGAGGGGAAGAAGCTGGTTGCCCTGGTCCCTCACTATTTTTTGGACCATTTAAGAGAACCTAACAGAAGAGTGTTTTGTGGTCTTATATTTAATTTTTTTTGGATCTCAGGTTCTAGGTTCCGAACCTTGTGGTTTGTTCAAAAGTCATCCTCTCAAAAATGGAGATGATCTCGGGGTTCCTCGCGGATATGTTATCTTTTCCTTTATTGTAGATATTCTTGCTTGTGTTCTTGGGTGGCACCCCCTTGTTCCTGTTTGTCTATGATATACTTTTTCTTTTTTTAGGAAATGTAATATCTTTTTCTACTAAAAGAAAAGAAAAGATCCTAAAAATTGGAGATGCTATTGTTCTTGCTGGGAGTTTGGGTCTGAAGTTTTAAATGCAAAATGTTATGATGAATGGCTTATGAATAAAATACTAGTGATTTTTTATCACTAGGTTTTATTGTTTACTTGCAATTGAATTTCCAAAAGGCAGTCTTTGCTGACTCCTCAATTCAACCAACTTTCAACTTGAAGGTCTAATGGTAGACCTTCATTTCTTTAATTTCTCTGGACCTTCACTGTGATACTCACAATTTTCTGCTTTCCTTCAGTTAAAAGCCCTTGGAGCGGAGGGAATGATCACAGAGTTGATACAGTATTTACATGTAGCTGAGGACCTCTTCTGTGGTGATAATACATATTTAAGGATGCCTATATATAAGACAGTATTGCATGCACTTGTTGAGGCCAAGGAAGTAAGTGCCTGTGACGATTTACTTTGTGCAATTATATTAGGTGTGGGCTCATTATTCATGTTTGGTTTTTCCTCAACATGCAGAGTCACAAGGCAGTAGAAATATTTAAAAATATGAGAGCATTTGGTTTCCCACTAGATGCTGCAATCTATAATGTAATGATTGATTGTTGCAGCATCATAAGATGTTTCAAATCTGCATGCGCCCTAGTTTCCGTGATGATCCGCAATGGATTTTATCCACAAACGATAACTTATACCACTCTCACAAAGGTATTTCAGTCTACTCTTTTCGTCACTGCGGAAAAATGGAATGACCAAAAAACAACAAACAGGACTTGTTCACTGTTCTAATTTTGGGAGAATTATGATTTAAACATGTGGTTGTGGAGGAAAATGTTTAAATGCGACCAGTTCTCTTCGTTTCACGTTTCTATCATACCAAAAAGATGAAAACTGTTTCTGATTCACTGCAGTTTGTTCCTGCTCATCTTTTCCTACTTTTTTGGCCCATCAATCCAGCCTCATTCAATTCTTTCTGGACTGTTGAACCGTCTCCACCGGCATATTTAATCAATTATTGACTGGGTTCTAGATTTATTTAAGCTGCATGTACTTTCTGTCAGATTCTGTTGGAAGATGAAAATTTTGATGAGGCCTGGAATCTCTTGGATCAAGCTATCTCAGAAGGAAATCAAATAGATGTGGTGTTTTACAATACCATTCTTCAAAAGGCTTGTGAAAAGGTTCTGTATCTCCTACTTTACGTTTCCTGCTGTCTTTAAAATATTTTTTGTAATCCTTTCATGGATGAGTGAGTGATTATGACTTCAAAATTTCAAAGGAGCTTTCTCTTAGTATGTCATGGACTCTGCCTTATATTAAGATGGATCTGGTGTGCCATATGCAATTCAAATTTATAATTGTTTCTGGATCACTAAGATCGAGTTAGGTATTTATTTGTATGATATTAACGTTTACTGTTCTTTTCATGGATAATTCCAGGGGAGGATTGATGTGATTGAGTTTATTGTTGAGCAAATGCACCGAGATAAAGTCCAGCCTGATCCATCAACTTGCGAATGTGTTTTCACTGCATATGTAGACCAAGGTTTTCATAGCACGGCTGTGGAAGTGTTATGTGTTCTCAGCATGCGAATGCTTTGTAAGGAAGCAAGCATTCTTCAAGAAAAGAGGACCGAATTTGAGGACTTAATTCTTTCTGAAGACTTGGAAGCCGAGTCCCGGATACTTCAGTTTTTTAAAGATTCTGAGGAGAATCTTGCTATAGCAATGCTGAATTTAAGATGGTGTGCAACTGTTGGATTCCAGATTTATTGGCCACCAAGTGAAAGCCAATGGGCAAGAAGACTGTTGACTAACTACGATTTCAGAAGAGGAACGACCTTATAGATGCAACAGACAACATGCATCAGATACACACCTATTTGCATGGTATGAATCTTTTTAGAATCCCAGAAAAGTTGAATCAGATGGTGACCGATTCTGCTTGGATCGCAGAATGTACATACGGTAGGTAAGGATTTCTGGCAGAGGATGGTTAGACTAGATATTAACCAACTGAAGAAGAAACAAGAACAGGTTTGGTGGTTTGAATTAGGCGCTGTTGCTTATTCAGTTTCTGTCTCACAGCTAACAAAAGGGTTATATCAGAGTTGTCTCTGCTTCCTAACCCCTAAACTATGTATTAGCCACTGAGTTGTCTTACTGGAGTGAATTAGGAATAAATTATGATGTACTAGTGTAGCCTATCCAAAATTTATTGAGCCGGACAACAAGACAATCCGTCTGGCATTGTAACGTTTCAAATGCACCAAGTGGAAGCTGGAAGGACCTTGTGAAACCCTTCCCCTTCTCCCTTTTTTAGTTTGGGACGAAATTTTTTGTAAATTTTTTTTTTCTTTTGTATTTTATTGTAGTCTCCAACTAAGGTTATGTTTGGATGGAACATATGAACAATGAAATTTTTTTGGTTTTATTTGTTTGTAAATGAATTATTATTCATGGAATAAAATGTGAATTTTGGAGTTTACTGTCTAAGTTAAAGCTTTTAAGGAATTATCAATTTTAAATAGAATTTAACATATATTTTTTAATTTTATTAAAACTTACTTTAGAATAAAATGTTATGTTTGTAACTTGTTGATTAAAAAAATTGAGGTTTACAAATGAATTTCATGAAAATCATGAAACTTAATTGTTTTTATTTACCAGCATTGTTGAAAACTTCTATTCATTTTGATCAGTCCGCAGGAAAGTCTCTTGCATGAACATCAAGTTGCCTAGTTGGTAATTTGCTTAGGCCTCAAATAGCCATGGAATTCAAACAATTGATTTAACCCTTGGAAGCAGTTCATACAGTGACATTGTCAAGCCTCCGAATGAAGCAAAAATGCAGCCTGGTTTGCAAGTCAGAAATCCTTGTCAACACTTGCATCAATCACAAGTTATAGCCATCTACGAGATGCTTCTGTGTAAGTAAGCCACTCTTAGGTTCAATCTTCACCTGCATCGATATGAAATCTTAATAATAGAATGCCAATGAAGTAGTCCAGCACAGGGGTGTCCAATGGTCCAATCTTGGCATTCGCATCCATTAGCTCTTTGGGAGTGCTGCTTATATGTTTTCTCCCGGTGGTAGCTCTGCCAGCTTTGGTGCAGTGCCAAGTACTCGTTCCATATCAAAACGGACTTCAATGTTGCGAAGGCTGTAACCCACCACCATCAACCAATAGAGCAACTTGGCAAGTTCCGGAGCACTAGTCTCCGTTACAGTCGTCTGCAACCAAAATCACCAGCATCTTAGGAGACTGGGCAGTCAAATCTCAAAATGACATGATAGACCAACATAAGATGATAAACTTCCGGCAAAAGTTGGAGGGTGGGGGGGAATAGAGTTGATCATCATTTTCTCTTGGAGCAGAGATCAAACAGCTCATTTGGAGAATACTTTTTTGAATGGAATTTAAATGAAGAACAAAGAAACAGAAACAAATAACAAAGCAAACAAAAGCCAAGAGGAACAAAGGAGAGTATATAAGCAAACCTTTTCTTCTTTTCTGGGAAGATAGAAAAAGAGGGAAAATAACAAAAAATCCTATGAACTATAAACCAATTTCGAGGTAGACTATAGTTTGTGAAATAAAAGAGTTGAATCTCTATTTTCTAAAGAGAGTGACAAAAAACCCCATAAACTCAATGCAAACAACAAATTTTTTATATTAAAAAAAAAAAATCTGTTCCTGTTAGAAACTTAACAAGAATAAACCAAAAAAAAAAAAGCACAAGAGAACACCAATCAGTAATCTCATTTTTTCTAAATTGCATCTCCAGTTTATTTAATATAAAACACATTACTGTATTCTTGTAGAAAGGAGACCTTTTTTCTCAATATGAAGAGAAGCAAAGTATTAGTTCTATCAAATTTAGAGGAACTTTATCAAGTGTCCTAGAAAAAGAAGTAAAATAATAGCAAACCTTCATCTGCTCAGGATCTGAAACAGCCAAAAGCCGCTTGATGAATGTATTCATTGCAAGCACAACATCTTCTCCAGCAGTACTTGTCAATTCCTACAGAGAAGTGAAACATACAATTAAGTTAAAATTGCCCATATAAATCACTTAAAAAGGCAGAAAAAATCAAGCAACCAGAGCAACTTCCCATACCTTAAGGTTTTGAGGCTCAAGAGATTTCAGATAGTCCAGCAGTTCATTTTGACCGTTAGCAGTTTTTCTTCCAACTTGGCTATTTAATTCCTCGATCTCAGCTTCAAGTAACTCTATATACCTTTTAGCATCTATTCTCTCTGGACCAGAAACATTATTCCATCTAATTACTTCACCCGACACATTCTTCTGAGTACCAGGTGCATAATCTGGAACATCCTGTAGCAGTCAAAAGAAAAAGTTATCTTTATCCTGATAGAATCAAATGGAGATAATATGGCATAAGAAACAATAATTTTGTTCCACAAAGCAAGGGATAATCCAAGCTTAAAGAAACCAAGGAATTGCGGTTAATAAGAGCAAGGCTTCCACATTAAATCTCATGGATGATTCATGGAATACCAACTTCACTTATATAATGATTTGGTTACATAACAAAGCTCAGTTAATTAGAGCCAGAGATTCAGTGACATGTAGTCCTACTTAAGAAAAATCTCAGGAATTGACTTTAAAAGAAAGAAAAATTTGTTCATCTAGAAAGAATTGCCATTGAACTTTAATACAACGCTTGTACTTCACATAAAAACAATTAAGATTCCGTACAAAATCTAAATAACAAAAGGGAAAAAAAAAACGTTCTCTCTGTTTTTGTATTTCAACCTATTTAATTGAAGTGCAATGCAAGACTCAAAGCATATATGGTTGAATAAATTGATAACAATCTAGGCATGACTGCTTTAGGAAAATGTAGACTATTGTGACCTCATAAATTACAACTTGTAATGGCACAGAACAAAACACATACAGCCATGATAGTATTTTTAGAAATTTGAAATTTAATAGATACTGTCTGTCTGGGTCACTGATTCTACTTTTCCTTCACATATTAATCAATTTAAAGGGGCACCGTGGTATATAGTTCCAAAATTTAAAGTTGGGAGAAGCAGTCATAAGCTCATAACAATGACATGAATATTGCAATCTTAATTCCAACATGACACTTCTTTTGGGGAGTAAAGTTGCAAGAGAACTGTTTTTCCCATTTCCTTTTTGGTCTAGGAATGATTATGGCAGTAACTTTAAGGTTAGTTAAGATAGATAGAAGAAAAACTACCTTTGGATCTTTTGGTTCAGGAAGAGAAACCTGCTCCAAACTTTGTTGCAATTCCAGACGATATTGCACATTCTTAAACATATATCCAGTCATCAAAACACTGTACATAAGCTGTGCAAGATTTTCAGCAACCTAAAGCAAAATTGAAGAGAAGTCAAGGATCATTTAAGGTAACAAACGCTAGATAAAACTAGAAGGAAGCATCAAAAGGGAAAATTAAGCTTATAATATAAAAGGATGGCCCAGTTGAATCAGTTATCACTACACCCAAATAGGGGGGTTCCTGAAATCCTGGTACTTACTGTGGTGACTGTCACGGCAAAAAATTGTGGGGGTAGAGTTCCAATCATGTTCGTCACTGTTTGGCGCATGGCATCAACAACCTAAGCAAGTTACATTGGAAAGTGTTACATTTCCAAATTATTTCAATTAGAAACACGGACACCAAGCATGACCCTCCCATGCTCTCGCGGTAGCATGCATAAAGCAATATAGGATTGAGTTCCAAAGGAAAAAGTAAAAGCAAAGAATCAAACCTGCTGGGGCGCCCTTTTCACAAACACCTCCATGAATTCTGGCTGCACATTTTTGACATACTCCAATAGAATTTCCCTCCTGGTTTTTGGCTGCTAGTTGCAAAACAAAACAAAAAATTCTAGTTCAACAAATAATTTTAGCAAAATTTGAAACTTCCTCTGATTAAAACAATCACATATTCTCCATCAAATTCCCTCCTCAACACTATTTTTTCTCTCATTTAATTGCAAAATCCCACAACTATGAAAATTTTATGACCCGCCATCCATTTAAGTGGGAAAAAAAAAAACAAATGATTTATCTTCAGTTAAAACAAACTAGCAACTAAAATAATACACGCATATCCTACATGGAGAGAGTGGAAGAGTGGAAGAGAGGAGTACCACAGTGCCGTTTGGAGGCTTAGAATCACCAGAGGAATTAGAAGAGTCTTTGTTGGAAGAATCGTAAGCTTTTACTGTCAAAGCCAATCTCTGTTTACCATTCTTCTTCGTCCTCCTCGGGAAGCTAACTGAAAAATAACACAAGTTGGGCCTACACGACGCGATTATCGTAGAATTACACGAAGACGGCGATCGACACACGACGCATGCGGCTTTCGCTGCCAGTGAATTCATCTCTTCTCTCTCTCTCTCAATAAAGATGGTAACTTGTTAGCTACCAGTCTACCAAACTTTTTTTGCCTGTTTTAGTATGGTTAACATACAAAGACAATTAACCCTATTGTTATTGTCTTCTTCTTCAAATTGTCGCCATTTTAGAGCGAATGCAGTGCCGGAGTTCCCAAAGATGAGGGTTTGTTCGTGTGAAAGACGGAGCTTGGTTTCACTCTAATAACGTGGGGATGCTTGTAGAGGATATTTTCTTGTCCTGATCAAATTAAGATCCTACTGTTAGAATTTCTTGTGTATCTGATGAATCAGATTAACGGCTTAGATGCGCGTAAAGCTGACCGTTGATTCCGTTGGGTCGTTCAAATCGTTACCGCTGTGACGCACAAACTCGAGAGAGTAAATTTTTTTTATAGTTATAAAGAGAGATAAAAGTTAAAAAATTTAAAAATTTTTAGTGCATTAATCGTGATAAACAGTTAGAGATCGTCCAACATGATAATATTGATAAAAACTAAAACTGCATCGAGAAGTCATAATTCGACAATCAATTAATACGTTAATATACTAAGTACCAAATTTAATTAAAATTTTACAGTTAAACATGTTTTGACGATAATGATAATCTTTCGTAAAATTTTTATACTAATTTTAATTTTTTATAATTTTATTAAATGCACGATAAATTATTTTTTCCTGAGATTTTAAGAAAGAAGTGTAAACTTGACAAATGAATCCAAGTTTGTCTTTAAGTTTATTTTTGTTAAAAAAAAAAATATCAAGCTCATGATTCATATTAAATATAGCACACTTTTTAACATATATGCAATATAAATATTTATTTTAGAAATGTATTAAAAAAGATTCATTCATATTCTAAAATAAAAAAATTATGAGAATATTATATTAAAAAATCTAAATGTATACTAAAGTTAAATATAAATGTTTCTATACTCACATTACTATACTATGATACCTTACTTGTTACATTAATTAATATTTTTTATTGGTACATATATATAATAAGAGAAGTCCAGCTCAGCGCAGTCCAGATGAATGCGTAAGTTTCCGTTTTTGGTTCTAACGGAGAAAGAAAGCTCGAGACTCGAGACAGCATGCCGAGGGTCCAGAACAAAAATGGCGTTCTGCATCTTGGCGGTGGCACTATCATTTTCTGTGAGCGGATGACGTAAAATAAAGCCAACACTTATTCAATTTCCTTGTCGTTATCCAATGGCAGCATCTCCGAAATTTTCACTTCCTTGACACAATGTTGGAATCATAGCAGATATCCCGACTTTTGTTTCACCGGTTATTTCTTTGTTCTTCTTCTCTGCGCCTCACGCACTTCTCTGATTTGCACGAATACACAAGGAAGGATTCGCAGAGTACCACAGCCGCCATGGCTCCACAGAGGCGGCGCCACCACTGTTATCACCGTCTCCGCCGTCTCATTCCGGTCATATCCGCAATTTCCGGCTCCCTTCTTATCTTCTTCGCTCTCCTATCCCTTCTCGCTCCTTCTCCTATCGATTCCGATCGTCTTCAACATACTCGCCGCCACGACCCTGTACGCTCCCTACCTTCATCTCGCTATATCTTGTCACAAATATTTCCAATATATCTCTACGTGAATCTGTAACTTTAGTGCGTGACTGTATCCGATTTTTTAGTGCGTGTTATGTGATTTTGATGGTTTACAGGTTAACGCTGGTGTTGATGATGCAATTGGAGTTTCAGTTTTCCGTGTGCCGGTTAGGGTTACATTCTAGTTTTTTTATTTTTTTCGGAAGAATGATGGCGATATTTTTTTCTTAATTGGATCTCAGTAGTCGTTTTCTCTTGATTGAGAGCGAGCCATTTTTGCATTTTGAGTAACAGAGAGGTGGAGGGAGATCAGATCGTGATATTTGGAGTTCACCGAATGCCAAATTTTTTTATGGATGTAGTAATGCGAGCAGCAAGTTTGAAAGTGCGTATTTATTTTATATATATGTATTAGTTTAAGTTTGACAGTATTATTTCCGGTTTCAAATTTAGGACTTTTAGTCTAAAATTAACGTCCGTCCTGAGATGCAATGGATCTTTGTATCAACACAATATTGAACCGCAAAGATAGCTATAATTATGATCAGCATTAAATTAGTTATAGTGTCCGTTTCTCTGTGCTTTTTGGATATTGTTATATTTAGTTTTATGAAATGTCGAATTCCGTTGAGCTCATGGAATCCACTAGTTATTATTCAAATCATGTTGATGGCATTGCAGAGGCAGAAGTGGTCACACATCCCAAACGATACTTGGCGATTGCCACCAGTGGAGGCTTGAATCAACAACGAACTGGAGTAAGTTTTGAGATTATATCTCATAGAGTAATTTTGGTTAAGTTATTGGTAGTGTTTGCTATTGATTTCTTTGGGAAGACACGCATTTTTCTATTGTCTGTGGTTTGAAATCTGCAGGCAAATATATAATCATATAATTTTTCTTACTCATAGATTTGTTGCACTAAATTTACTGGAACTCAATGTGACATTGATTATTTCTCAACAGCCAGTTGGACTAGTTGTCCAACACATATAATTGGTTCCCCTCCTTAATCACAAGCAGTTGCGGTAATACCTGTAGGCTATAGTAAATGGATGTACACCAGCTTCTTTTATGTGGCTCTTTTTGAAATACTTTCTAAATTCACATCTCAGAGTAGGATATGCCCTCAACATTCTTGTTATTACCTACTTTACTGCTTTTATGATCTAGGATTGCTAAACTGGGGCGGACAACTTACTCTGAAGCATTAACTGTAACCACATCCTTTTGTGGTGTCCTTTAGCTTATGAGCTGTGGAGCATGGTCTATGGGCTAATGGGTATTAATTGGGTCATGGCGGGGTCGGTTAAAGAGGAAGTTTGGGCTTGGATGGGGTATGTAAGAAGAGAGAATTTGTAAAGCTTATATCATTGACCATTTTTGGGTTCCTTTGTAAGGAAAGAAATTTTAGAGTTTTTGAGGGTAAAGAGGTTAAGAACAATAGATTAAGAGATAGATGGTTTCATTATTTTGGGTTTATCTTGTGAGAACATGACATTATTAGGAATGAGGATTTTGGGAATGTCATTGACAGTTTAACACAATTATAAATTTTTTGTATACGAATGTGCTCCCTTGGTACCTTGTCAATAATATTTTTCATAAAAAAAAAACTTGCAACCTATATTGCTATTCTCTTCTCATTCAATTCTCATATTTAGATGTTTGATATGTAGAAATTAGTTGTAATGTACACATTTGATGCATAATTGAATTAACTTCACCCATATCTTCAATTCCACAACCTAAGATTTGTACTCCACCTAATAAGAAAGGAATCACCTAATTTGAATTGGATATGGAATAACATAAAATTAGACTGCTATTTCATTTAAATTTTTATCTTTGCTCCCCCTTGATTACAATGTTCTGTGTAATTTTTTTATTCATCACAACAAGCTTACAAGCATGTGCATCACAGATTACAGATTCTGTTGTTGCTGCCCGTATTCTGAATGCTACTCTGGTTGTGCCAAAGCTGGACCAGAAGTCATTTTGGAAAGATGTTAGGTTAGTTATGAAGTCATGTCTTTCATCTTTGTATTTTATCTCCCTTGTTGCGTACTTTTTAAGATTTTAGGATGAGCTGCTGTTTTAGATACATGTACTTTTTACTGTTTTGAATAACAAACTTCATATTATCTCCTTGCAGTAACTTTTCGGAGATTTTTGATGTTGATTGGTTTATATCATTTTTGTCAAAAGATGTTAAAATAATAAAGCAACTCCCAAAAAGGGGAGGGAAAACTTGGAGTCCATATACCATGCGTGTACCAAGGAAGTGTAATGAAAGATGTTATGTTAATCGTTTATTGCCTGTTCTTCAGAAAAAGCATGTAAGTTCTCTGTTTCTATAAACCCTTTTTGACTACTATTATATCTTTAAGCTTCCTGTTGTTCTTGTCTGAATTGAACTTCTAATTTTTTTTTGAGAGGAAAAAAGAAGTATTATTAGCAATTCATCAAGGGGGTGCCACCCAAGTAGAAAAGAAGCATTAAAAGTTTACGCTAGAAACCAAGATATCAATTAGCTTGCCCACATCCTATTCATAGCTAAGAGGTTGACCATTAAACCAAAAACTCATGGTGTAAAATCAATAACATCTAATGCTATCAAAAGGAGACATTATGCATAAGTAATCATCTTAGCCAGATGAATGATGGAAACAAGCTTTTCTAGGACTTGCACACTCTAATAACTTTCCAAGCCCATAACTCCTTTTCAATTGAGCAACTAGCTACTCAAGAAAGGTTTAGTGAGGATAAAGATCAATCCCATAGTTTTGTAGCCATAATGCACCAAAGAAGGAGATGGTTAGACGATTCTCTATCATGCAAGCACATAGATACCCATTAACGATGACCTTTCATCCTTTCCTCAAATTGTCTAATGTAAGAATTTTCTCCTACGGATCCTCCCAAGCAAAAAAAAGCCATAAAGGGAGAGGCTTTTCTCTTCTAAATCTACTTCCACATGAATCTAGAGACAACAACACTTTGTACTTTGAGAAACAAGGTTGAGGTAAAAGCCTCTGACATAGAACAACCTACTCTTCTAGGGAGGCCACGTAGGGCAATCTCTACCAGCAAGGTCAAACCGATTCCAGTCAAGAAAGTTCAGTGGGGAAATCATATAATCAATCTCTCAATTATTACAATTTTGCAACAGCTTGATATCCTACAAAAAAAGTAGAGTGGCCACTGTTGACCAGAATGTCCGTAATCAAAGCATCCTTATCCTTAGCAATCACAAAAATATTAGAAAATCTATCCTTGGGAAGACTAACCATTAGTCTAGCAAAAAACTCAAGTTCTAACCGGTTGCCAAGTTTAAAAACAAGAAACCAAAGGTGTTTCACTCCTTATTAATTCACTCCCAAAGATTAATGCCATAACAGTGACCTATCTTGGCCATCTTTCAACCTCTTCTTTCCAGCCTATAGTTTGCAAAAATTACCACTCTCTCTAAACATTTGCTAGAAGACATGTACTTCCATAACACTTTGCTAGAATGGCCTTTTTCATGACAATCAAAAATCTAATGCCAAGAGCCCCTAAAGTCAGAGGTCTTTTCACATAATCTCATGCCACAAGATGATACTGCTTCATCTCTTCAGAACTTCCCCAGAGGAACCTGCACTGTAGAAATTTCCAACCTCTTGACAATGCTTACAGGAATAAGAAATAACAGAAGGGAATAGATAAGCAACTTAGAAAGCTTACTTATAATTTTTTTTAAAAGCATTTTTTTCAGAAGAGAGAGCAACTTTTAGTTAGAGGAAGTCTACCATCCTTAGAAAGACATATCTTCTTCTGGCCAAGCAATCTCTTTCTCATCTTGCTAATGATAGGGTCCCTGGTAGCAATATCCTTGAATTGGTGTGCAAAGGGAGATCAAGGTATTTAAGAAGGAGAGAGAAAGCTTGACGTCCCAAAATGTTATTGAAGGCCTTCACTGTAACACTTGCACCAAAGAGGACTAAGTCTAATTTGTCCAGGTTAGTATGAAGTATAGAGATAGCTTTAAATAGTGAAAGTATGTCTAATAGTCATAAGGAATTTAGTGTCAGACCTGCAAGAAAGAAGAATGTCATTACCAAAAAGAAGGTGGCTGATCTCCTTCCTAGACTCCCAAAACCAGCACTTGATCCTTTGATGAGATTGCAAGCTCTAGCTTGAATAAACATCCTGTGGAGAGCCTTCATGACTAGAATGTAGAGAAAAGTAATGATGGAGGATCCATTTTTACCTGAGGCTTCTAGAGGAGTGGAAGAAATCAATAGGCTGCTCATTCACAAAATTGTAAAAGGAGTAGAGATACTTCTGATCCACATGCACCAGTTGGGACCAAAACCCATTCTCTTAAGTAAGTATAATAGGAAAGACCAATCAACACGGTCCTTGGCTTTCTTAATATCCAGCTTACACAGAAGACTCTCTCCCCATATTTGATCATGCAATCCATCAGCATAAAAAATTTGGCAACCCTTCACCAAATGCATTTTGGTCTTCCCTTGCTACCACCATATGATCACCTTGCTTAGTCTCTTGGGAAGAACCTTAGGAAGGATAAGTTTGTGAATACAACCCATCAAGCTCATGGGCCTATAATCCTTGATATATGCTGCCCTCTCAGCCTTGGGAGATGAGGATAATGAACGTAGAATTAAGAGAAGTAACAACCTTAATGGTGTCAATGACTTCATTTCTTCTTCAAGAAAGCCATAGAAAAGTTATATGGGCCACCTTCACAACTGAGCAACACCACATGAACCTCCTCTTATGAGAAAAGCACTCTAAATCAACATCCTTCGTGAAGCACAATCATTTTGAACTCTAAAGTCTATCCAAATTCAATCTCCAGGGTTCTTCCTTTGAGTACAAGTTGCTATAGAAGGCCTTGATTGCATCTCTTAAGTCGTTCTCAATTTCAATTTCTATCTATCCAGATGAAGCTTATTTACGAAGTTGGTCCTCTTGTGATAGTTGGCCATCCTGTAGAAAAGTTTAGTATTTTGGTCCCTTGTGCCAACTCTAATTTAGCAAGTTGCCTTCTCTTCCTTTTACTTTCCAATAGCCCCAAAGAACAGGATTTCTGTCAAGCTCCTTAGTCTCACGAGTAAACTGCTTTCCTCAACCAGCTTCCTTACCCTTATCCTCCCTATAAGTCTTCAATTTCTAGCCACTTTGAAGCTAGTGAAGCCATCAGGATTAGTCTCTTCCCTTGTTCCTATATCACATCACCGAACCTCTTCTTTAAGCCACTTGTTCTCTAAATCAATGATGTGGACCCTCATTTATTTATACCATGAATATTAAGACAGATAGGAAAATGGTCTAAAATAACATGAGCCATGGTCTTTTGGACTAAATTTGGCACCCATTCTTCAAATTTGGAGTTTAACATGAATCTATCAATTATTCAGAAAGTTGAATTCTCTGAGTTTGGACCAAGTTTTTTTACCGCCTAGTAAATGCAGGTCGGTGAGGTCTAAATTGTTCAAAGAATCCCTAATTCTCTAATACAGGTGAAGGAAATGTTCCCAAAGGATCTCTTAGACAAAACAAGAACCATATCAAAGTCACCACTAATAAGCTAGGGTAGGTTGCGAACCTATACCATCATCTCAAATCCTCCCTCAAGAACTTCCTCTCTAGCCCTTCGCCCCTCCCATATGCGTCGATGAAAATCCATGAGGTAAAGAGACCTTTTTCCTAAATTCACAAGAAATAGACACAGTCCCTCTTGCATAGTTCATCATATTAAGGATACAAATATCCCACATCAGTGGGATACCAACTGATGAGCCCATAGCTGGCAGGTTACACTAATCAACATCCCTGCCAGCCGAAACACTTGTAACCAGATTAGTGCTCATGTCCTCAATCTTTGACCCACTGTGGCCCCCGTGACATTCAAGCTTCTCTGTTCTCCCATTTGACCCGTCTTTCTTCTTGAATATTGATTCTTCATCGCAATACAACAAAGATCCCTTTATTTTTCCTAGCTCAATGGCTCTAGCAGTTTGAAAGCCTTCTCCTTGAATCCCTCAAATCCACGTCGACCATCTTATGCACTTTCAGATCTTTCTCTCTCCAATCTGAAGTTTCCC